GTAATACTGTTCATGTATTAAAAAACGTTGTCGTTGTGTTTTGAATTGTTTTTATATAATATATTTTCTGCCGTCATTTTCTTATAAGGCTGCACTTGGAATAAACAACATGGAGCTGCATAACTGACTCATGAGCATTCGAAATTTCAGATTCCAAAGTTTTAAGATTTTTAAGACTCCGCCATTGCGATGGACGTTAGTGACACAAAGGTGGCCCGGATGATGGACGAAGTTGTCTGCAAGGTTTATAAGGATTGATGTGAGGGTTAAAAGGACATGTCCACTTACAGGAGAAAAATGATGATTGGCCAGCACGGAGACGGGGGAAGTGGTGAAGTGATGAAGTGGTGAAGTGGTGAAGCGATGAAGTGGTGGAGTGGTGAAGCGGCCAGGCTTTAACACGATAACTGTTTGGACTGTCTTCATCTCACATTGTTAAAAGGTTTCCCTAAGTGTAATGATTTCTGAAATCGACAGTGTTGTTGTTGTCCACTAAGTTGTTTTAGATAAGAATGCATACACGACCCAAGAGTGATGTTAAATTCCAAATGTATTAATGCTAATATTGAGTGATGGGGTAGTTTTATATCACGAAAGTATTCCCAATGGTATTGGCAACTACAATAATAATACAGAAATAAAATAAAAACACTTATATGTATCCAAAGTTTTTCAGTACATGACTGCTTTTCAGACCAAGTTACTTTCCTCAAACATATTTACTATACCTATAATGTACAAGTAGAATAATTTGTAAACTGTTAATTATTCTTGAATTTAAATGCTGATAAAAATATGTTTTGGTCTTGACAGAGTACCAAACATATTGTTAAACCACAAAAACTAGAGTTAAAGTTTGGATTATGTAATAATTTTTCAAATTACGCACTTGTAAATATATTTGTACAGATCCAATGATTGCTAATATAATATGTTCGATTTGTCCAAAACAGTGAAAATGTAGCCCGAATATGAATACGGTGATTTTTAAGTTTGTTTATTCATCTTTGATTTATTTAATACAAAACGACGAACTTCAATAGAGTTTTAAGTGTTAGTTTTTTTAATGTTAAGACCAAAAAAAGCAATTATACATAAATATAAATGCATTCTAAACTTTAAGTTTAGAAACACCTTCTTTGACTACCGGTAATGCTATATTTTATAATTGACTTTTATAAAATGTGTGGTGATATAAGTGAACAAAATCTAATATTTAAAGCGCAAAATTCAACGAAATATATTTAAAGTGAACATTTGCACAAAACGAAACGGAAATTAAGCTGTGTATTGCCAAATGACTCGTGCATTTTGTCGAGTTTGTAGTTAGTGTTTTATATTTACTGCAACTTACAATATATTCTAGAAAATTAATAAAAATACGTAAAATTGTATTATTTGCTTATAAATAATAGATACAGGTTTCAAAACTATTTTGTACTATATTTCTTAACATAAATGTAAAACAGTGATTCCATTTAACCACAACATATAAAATTAAAAATAAGGTGAAAGCACTGATGGCAAGAACTGTCCTTTATATAATTTAAACGTTTCAGGGTATTAACTTTATAATACTACGAGTAGTATTTAAACCATTTACGTTTAGATTCTGTTTTAACAATTGAACATATTTTCTTCATAAGAAGAAATAAATAATTTGAGTACCCACATTACCTATTTCTGCAAAAGTGTTGTTTTTCCGTTTTCCGCTTTTCAGGGGTTTTCAACGTTCTGTGCCGAAAAAAACTATCATTTTCAAAATCAGGGCGTTATTTCCTACATTTTAATAAAAGAAAATGTAATTTTCCGAGGTTGCATTGAGATGGTAAGAACTACCAAAAATAAACACTAGTTATTACTTGGATCTTTGTACTTAAAGAAAACTATTGTTATGAGCCTATATTTGAGCTTAAGATGTATAGTAATTTGATGTGCGTGGCAGCTCTAATTAAAAATAATTAACAATAAACTAGTTAGTTTTAGGCGTTGACCTTGTCTTGGGTACTACAAGCAAACTTCCCATTCCATTAGAAATCTCATGTCCGGTAACCCTTCAGGGAGTTGAGGTGGACTTTCCTCTCTCATATTTTAGGAAATTTAAACTGTGTGTGCTTTGCTCATTTGTTTACTACACATAAATAGGAACTAGTTTAAAAATATATCGTTCTATTTAGTAATGTTTTAGATTTTTCTAAAATAAAAATAATATATAATCCTTAAAAATGTCTTCAGTCTTAATAAGGTTGATAAATAAATTATGCAAATTCATTATCTTTGGACGAAAACATGTAATTTTGTTTAAAGTCTTACTTTCACAGCCTAGGACGTAGTCCTAGGCCTATACATTCAGAGCTATAGGGTTGCTGTATAATAATTTAGATAAAGCCCATTGGTGATTGGCGGAATTTGAACACTGGACCTCGGGGACAGAAGTCTAGTCCAGCTCGTTGCCCAGAAAAAGAGGAGTAAGATAATTTATCAAATTTGTAACACGATATAACGACAGTAATGAAAACGGTAGTAATTTATAACCTTATAAATCATAGGGTAAAAATCTTAGTCTATACCAAAGTAGAAAATGTTTTGAAGTAATTTTTAATACAGCACACATTCAAACAGTAACACATACTGAAAATATTATAAATGTTGAGCAAAAAGTTATTTACAAATTAATCAGAAGCAGTTGCTAACAGCCCACGTTGTAATCCTGAGCCGCTCAGCTGTTTGGGAACAAAGTAGCCAAACAAATACTGCGAAAGTTTGTTTAATTTCGGCATTAAGCCCAAGGCCTTTGATGTGCCGGTGAGACCAGCTTGGACAACTAATAATTAAAAGCTTTCCCTCTTTTCCCGTTTGATGTTATTAGTTTTCAGAATTATAAACCTTCCACGGCATTCAACGGGTTTACGTAAACCGTTTGTGTTGCCTTTTAAACATTTAAAGCAAACTTGGTCATTAGTTTTTTTATTGAATCGAAACCTAAAAAGTCTAAATTAGACAAATAAATGTTTATTTTATGCCATGTAAGATAAAGGTTTCACGAGCGTTGTACAAATATAAAATTTACTATAGTGAAGCTTTAACTTGACTAAGAAAACGTATTTATCTACACTCACGTTAAAAGCAAAGATGTTTAAACGAGCTGTACTATTGGTGTTTTAATCTAAATTTGTTGTGCTGTGGTTAGCATAGGTTCTGGCATCCACCACCAGGAGTGCCGTGTAGTTACAGCGTACACGCTACGTAACTATACGGCACTCCCAGCAGTAAACGCCAGAATGTATGCTAACCTCCCACTCAGCTATGGTATTATTCATTTTAGGTGCGTCAAAACAGTATAAAACAAATGATTTTCTCCCACAAAATATTAAGAGAAAAACTGTCAACTTCAACATCAACGATCGTATGACAAGCAAAATCAATACAAGATATTAACTAGTATGATGCTAATTAAATACCAACAGTCCTTTACTCTATCTTTGCTCAAAGTTCTACAATGTTATGCTATAATAATTAATACTCGACTGCACACTTTGATTGCCTTTGTTTGAGATTGATTAGAACAGTGTCAGAGACATCTTTAATAGCAGTTAGATTGCATCCTCCACATGCTGTGTAGCTTTGCTGCAACGTTCCTTTGTCCACAAGCAACACAGCCAAGAACCGAAATGCAGTCTTTAGTGATGCATTGTAGACGAGGCTATGATTGCAATCGAATTCTTGTTTGCCTTTGCCCGTCTTGCATAAAGTCACTTGACTAACGGAGACGTTACAATGCGACGATGTAAACAGCTGTTTTATATTTCAGAAAATGTTTAGGAAAAGACAAAGACTGTAGAAACCGCGATTAAATATACTCATTTATAGTTTTATCACGAATCAGGTGAAGATAGTAAAATGGTATATTTCCGATCAATTATTCGTTATGTGAGTTTTAACGTTAACCACGTTTTTGTTAATGTATCAACTTAAAAACAAAGCGAGAGACAACAATTTGGAAAGTATCTAAATATATGAGAAAAACTTATTATACAGGCACTCAAGCGTAACATGACGCTTCAACGCGAGCTTCCCATTTACCAATAGGTTAAGATCCCTACTTAGAGCATATCAAGTCAAACAGAGAACACATATAGGAATCTCAAACTAAACTGAACTGTGTAAATTTGTCACAGACTTCGTAATCGTAGAACTATGAAACTATATAAATCTGAAAGTATAATTTAGGCTTTTGTTTGAAACAAATATTCTACAATACGTTTGTAAAAACAATTTTACATAATGAGATTGATTGGTACAGATATTACTGATTTATCAATGGATAAAAGAACCTTTTAACACCAAAATTATAATCTAACCCTCCTTAGGATGGAAAACGGACTTGAAAATAAACACACATTGACTCAGCTGTGCTGAAATTGAACCTAAATCGTAAATATCTTGTTCGGAAAAATTTACTAAAACTGATTTTTACCCCTTTAAAGATAGTGTGTAGCTCACTTGTATAAAAACGCCAAGAAACTCTACACAACCTTGTGTAATTGACCTAATAACAAGCTTAATTTAACTTTAAAAGTTACAACGTTAGAAACATAGCTTGCTACGGTCGGACTGTGGGAGTCGTCCATACATAATGTCTGACAGCCGCAAACTTTGAAATATTCACAGTAACTGACCCTTTTGGCGGGAAAACGACCGTTGCGGCGCGCCGCGTGATGCGTTTGTTTATTATTTGTGCGTTTATGTGGTTATGCCGAGCAACAGGGAAATTTTATTAGGATTTCATGTGAGTGTGGGTTTTTGACTTTGAAAGGTTATAAATTTTTAAAAAGAAAATGTAATTTATTGAAGGATACTTATACTATAGACCACGGGTTAACCATTTAGCTCTACATTTCACTAGGATATAAAGTATACAGAATCGGTACTTATACTCCTCGTGGTCTTTGGATAATGCACAACTGAGGTGACACTAGGTATACAGAGTAGGTACTCACACTCGTCGTGGTCTTTGGCGGTGACGGTGAGAACGGTGTGTTGAATGTCTTCGTTCTCGTCCACCTCCGCCTCGTACAGGGCCTTGTCGAAGTACGGCGGGTTGTCATTCTTGTCTGCGATGCCAATCCGAATAAACTTTGTCACTGAAACATCAAACAACTTTTATTAGTTTCAGCGAAGACTACGAAAGTGAAATATGATAGGTAAACGTGATTGAAAAACGAGAACTAAAGAGATAGCAGATCTTTGATAGCAACAAAGCTCATTTCATTCATTCAACGCACATCCTCCATTTTTTTTCTTCACCTCAAAACACGCGTGTGTTGGTGTCATAAAACTCCAATCTTTATTTTAATACTCGAGTAGTTATACTGTAAAAAACTTATTGTTATAAATATATTTGATTAAAACATATTTTCAACCTTAAAGATTACGACAAACTACAAAGCATCTTTAACTTTCAATTAAAATCGACAAATTATAAAAAAATTCAAACACTAAATATTTCAGTATAAAATATGACGCAATTTTCTGAAGCACATTTCCTGGCATAATTTATTTACTTCAGTCGATTAATTTATTTAAAATACATCATTAACATTTAGCACTGCTTGGAAAATATTCTTCAACACACATTTCTAATGGTTCTTCTTTTCCCAACAATTTTGTAGTTTCAGCAACAAAAATATTACGTAGCCTTGATATACACTCAATATTTATTGTACATTAAAACACCACTCAATTACGAGGTGAAAGTATCATAACTATTGCAACAAGTAAAAATACAACGACAGTTTAAAGCGACAAACGGGCGAAAAAAGCAGCAAAATTTCCATTATTCATGGCGAGGAGTGATAAATCAAGTGGTATTCAGTAGTTCACGCCCCTTAGTCCAGTCGGGCTGCTCAAGTCTGTATATTACTGTCTCCAATATCCACATTGTCAACAGTTAAAGCCTATATTGTGTTTAAGCTTGCATATTGTTCGGCTTTAAGATAATGGCCATCAATAAGATAATGGTCATATGATTGATTGTGTACCATGTTAAGTGTGCATTGCGGTTTTGAGTAGTTTAAACGGGTTTGTTCGTTAGCTGCGTTTAATAACCATTCTTGTTACAATAGATAAAACCAAGATAAGATCTTTAAAATACAGTATTATGAACATTTGTATAGTTATAATTACATTAATTTCTGTTGTTGTACCGTGCATTTTTGTCTTAAATTATCCAACGGGGGTTTAACAACTTAAATTTAGCTATTTACCTAATCATTGTGGCTGAAGAATTTATACAGTTAGAGTTTGAATGGGACAAACAGATTTGCAATAAAAATTACTTAATATAGATATAGTTATCGTAGTTTTTTTCTTTGTTTAGTAATCATAATATTACTAGACCTACACTACTCTCCAAATCCTGATTAGTTTAATCGTCAACTTTTGAACTATTGACGTACTTCATCGTACATTAACATGCAATTCCCTAAAAAAAATTAAGGTGACTGATTTTGATACTTATTTTTGAATGTGAACTTAATTATTTTATCGTTATTACACCAGGATCTTCTAAGGCAAATAAGTTAGTTGAATATGAGCCAAATTAGCAAGACTCCGAGCCACCTTTGCCGAGAATTATATCTGACATCGGATTTAATCCAGCAACACAATTAGCAAGCTTAAGCACCCTACGTCGGCACTTCCTGCAGCGGGGGGAAATTAAACTTTTACACTTCCAACAGCCAAACTACTAGGACGTAATCAAATGTAAGATTTGATAACCACCACATAGACAGTTAACGACGAGATTTTTAAAATTATATAGCCATTGAGATCACTTGTGTTAGTTTATAAGTCGTGTACATGATATGAAATATGTAGGAAAATACAAATATCACTTGAAAACTACCAGGAATCACAAAGACTGTGCAAACATTTTATTGAGTCTAATAAACTTATTATATTAATGTAAGGTATATCTAAAGGCATTAACCGTTGCATAAACATATTCTGAATCAAATAATAGTGCTACCGTACTAAAAATAACTTAACACGACTACAGAAGCAATTTCTGTACGAATAAGGCTTTGTTAAACTTTAGGTAAAAAATTAAAACACCAATAACAAAAAAACTGCAGTATTTTTTAATTTGACCAAAAATCGATGGATAATAAGGTTAACAATGAAAAAAATCAAAAGTGTTCTAGTTTAACCTGCTCTAAAACATAAGTGACCCCCAAAGAATCCTTTAAAAATATTTCGAATTTTCTCAAAGTGAAACTGTTTCTATACGGTTTTGTATCAATAATAATGTGAGATGTAGCAGAGTTTATCGTCGTATAGACATGCGAGTTTAAGTTCTACTCTGACTTTGACTTTACAGAGTTGTAGACACAGTATGTGGTGCTCCACTAGACGAGACGTTAGAGCCTGGAGTGTTGGCAGCACTAAATCACACTACATAATATATGCACCAACAATCTAGCGGATTAGATTTACATGATATATCACTGCTCCATAGTATATTCTAAATAAGAGCTACATAAGATTATGCAATAGAGTACAACATTCGAGAAAATACCAACAATCACACTGATGGTTTTACATATTTCTACTTCGAAATAGCGCGCTTTTAGTAATAAAAATCAACAGGGCATAGGAAAAATTAAAAGATTAGTTAAAATCCTACTCTCTGACACGCTGCGGTTAGTAAAAATACATCTCTGCATCGACATAGACAATTTTCATCGTACGTAAGACACTACTTTCCGAAAGTTGAACTTCCCTAAGGTGAAATATTGGGTAGCAATTAAACTCAACTTGACAAATATAAAAGGAAAATATAAATTTCACAAAAAAAACTTCTATGTTGTGATGTACAATAACTGTGTTCTTGCATTTTTTGCATTTTACACAGCTTTTCTGTGAATTACCAAGCGGCTTATTATTCAGATAGGCGCTTCTAAAGCTATTATAGATTATCGTATAAGATTCACATAGAGTTGTGCTGTAAGAACTACTATGTTGAATATAAACAGAAAATCTTTAGCGTTGGTAAAAAAACTGTTTTTGTGTTAAATCAGATTGATTAGGATTAAATACAAAAAAACAATTTATTTTTGTTTGTAAACTTTAAAGACTATTTCGTAAGTTTTTGGCAATTATCACTGTACAAAATAATAGCCAACGTTGTTGGTTTTGTTGAGTTATATTAATTATAAACGTTAATTGATTCCTAATGAGTATTATAGCATTCTTAAATCTGGTGAAATTAAAACAAAGGTGTAAAAGATTTGAAAACGCTCGAAGAAATCTGAGCTATAAGTAAACATAGGTAATTTGGATTGAGTTGCAATTTTCAACCATACACTCAACAATAGCCAGAATACTTGTCAATACTTGTTGTGAGACTGCCTAGTTGGAACACAATACCTGAGCTACACAGTTGTATCGGTCCCCAAAGACGTCGACATTCAGCAATTACATGGCTAATTACCGGACAGGTCACAATGGACGGTACGTGCTGTTACGTTCTACCAGCAATACGGTGACAAGTCACACAGTCGATACATGTTGTGAGACTGCCTAGTTGGAACACAATACCTGAGCTACACAGTTGTATCGGTCCCCAGCGACGTCGACATTCAGCAATTACATGGCTAATTACAGGACAGGTCACATTGGACGTACGTGCGGCTACGTTCTACCAGCAATACGGTGACAAGTCACACTGTCAATACATGTTGTGAGGCTTAGTTGTACCAGAATATCTTAAAAAAATTATTTAAACAATTTAGGATAAAACTGCTTATTGTCTCTAATATAATTCAATAATGCATACATTTAAATTTTGTTTGGTCTATTTGTGTATACATAATTTTGAGAATGCATATATTTTATAAAATGTTGGTAAAATACTTTTTTAATCTAACAAACAATATGAGAGTATTTTTTTTTACTTTAAACCCCCAGACTACTAGGAAATCAGCAGGAAAATTATCAGGTTATGTCGTGTTTAGTTTACATGCAAAATTCAACTAAGCCAATTGAACCTCGATTCATTCGTAGAACATATGGGATGGTGTTTTATTTTAATAGCAGATATGCGTTGTTTTAACTTCAGTTCAGTACTTTCATGAGGAAATGACCGAACTAGGTCTTTTCGGGAATAGCAATCGTACTACTTAACATGTCTTGTTGAAACATGTTAGTGTATTCTTTGTGGTAAGCCCCAAACTATTCTTTTAACTTCTATTTTTATTTTAAAATGGAAAAAATTAAATATTATCTGGTGAATAATTATAAAGTTAATAATAATAATAATATAAAGTTCAAGTAAGCAAAGTAAATATACAGTTTGCTCCAGTTATTTGCACATAGTTCACGATTTGCACGTTAATCGTTTAAAGGTTACATTATTTTTCTTATAGGGGATAGAACATGTACTACTTTTAAGCGAAATAAGTATACATTAAAATAAGTTATTTCATCATCAATTCTGGAAAACCCTGTATCAACATCTCCAACAACTAAAAATGTACACTTTTAATATTATTTACCAAAACTAAAGTATTTAGTGTTACTAAACCAAAGTTGTTTAGCTGTCTTTGATTTTCATGTTTTAAATCATCCACGATCTCCACATAATTTCAAATGCACACTGGTGTAAGACAAATGTCGGACAGTTGTAAATCACTAACAAGAGGCATACAAGTGGAGGGTAGATGTTGTGAGGGGGGGTGGAAGGGGGGGCGGAGGGCCAAGGGATGTAACAAGGGGCAGTTCATCGCTTAAGCACTGCTGCATTTTTAACACTCACACTACGGGATAAAAGAGCGCTTTCGGCTAACAACATTGAACTTTTAGCTGATTACCCAAGATTACTTCATCTTTATACTACAAACATAATTGAATGATTTTTGGATGCAAATTTTTAATTATGTTTAAGGTATGAATAATCACTATGTGATCTCAGCATTATTTTGATAATAGATTTGTATAGTTAGGTCTAAGAAAGTGTAAATAATGTTACCTACAATCACAGTTACAATGTTATACAGTATTTTAGGTTAATAGAGAGCTTAAAAAGGCTTAAGGTCTATTTAATTTTATTATTTTACGTATTAGTCTAATCACCTAAAAATAT